AGTGAATCGTGATAATAAATTGTTTTATTTGTTTATCGTTAATTTCTCTTAGGAAAGGCCTTTGAGATAATTGTGTTGTTAAGTTTATTAGTTTTGTTAGCTTGGTTTGAGACGATTCCAGGTCTAACAACAGATTTGTCGAATTATTTATCGATCTATACAATATGTAATTTTTGAACATTTATTTACGTACGAATATGTTTTATCAATCGAATGATTAGAATAAAAGTTCAATTGGTTCAATTTAGGCGTATTCTTTTCTGCTATTCAAATGAATATAACGTTTAATTATATTAATTACTGCTTTATTTAAGATTTTATATAAATCTGAAATAAAATTTCATAAGCTAAATTAAATAAATTAAATAGCTAAAAATAGTAAATAAACAAAGTTAAAATTATCAATTTAAATAATTGTAAAAGTTTGCATAGATGATATAAGTTTTGGCTTAAGCTCACACCTAAAATTTTCAGAATTTGACTATTTTATATTATTTTTGCAATAAGAAATTACAAAAAAATTTTTTTTGAAATTTAAACATATTTTATTTTTTTCAGAAATTCTACTATTAAAATATCCATCTAACGTCATTAAATATCCTTTTTATTTTTATATTAAATTATTAAAAAAGAATGTTATTAATAAATTAGTTTATGTCTTACATTAGTAAAAAAAATAATAAAGTATTTTATAATATAAAAAAGTTAGTTTCTTTATAATAAGTGTTACTATAAATATTTTCATTTTTATACTCTGTTAAACACAATTTGTAAAAGTGTATATTATTTTTTTTTATATTAATAAACTATAGAAAATAAGATTTTAACATTATGAAAAATGGTATTTTGTGATCAAATAAATAGGTGGGCGTTTTTTTCTTTATATATTATATAATTAACGATTTTTTTTTTTTGTTACAATCCACAAAATTATTACGCCTTAATTTTGTTTAATTTAAAATATAGATATTATTATAAAAAGCCCGTTTAACCTTATATGAGACCTATTGCAATAAGACGAAGAAACTTGCTCGAAAAAAAAATTTTTTTTTTCCAGAGTCATATTTTGAATATAAAAGGTTAATTTAATTTTTTTTCGGCAAATTTTCTCTCTTTCTATTTTTTTCTACTTTTTTGTGAGTTTCTAAATAAGGTATATATAGACCGATTTTCTTATAGCATAGTTTCATGCATTTATTTTTAAATTTGGAAAAAGAATAAAAAAATTTTTTTTTTTTTTTTTTATCCTTTTTTATCTGAAGCGATTACAGTAATTTTTTTTTTTTTTTTTTTAAAGCTTACGGAAATGAATCCATTTTATTTTAGTTCCTTTTTAGTTCCTTTTAGGTTGTGAAATAAATTTTTTTTTTTTTTATTTATTTTTATTTAACAGCAAATGTTTTAGGTTCAATCAATCGCTTTAGGGAGCAGAGGGAGCAGCGACGGGACGGTGGCATTGAAGGTTGTTCGAATTACCTTGACGATCAAAACTTTTTCCGCCTTTTAGTAACACACAGCCCTGGATTTATTGACTTTTTTAGGAAGAATTAAAACGAAATTTCTAGATAGAATTTTTATATAATATAGTCTTTAATTTTTGAAGTAGAGAAATTTATGCTTATTACAAAGAAAGAAATGGTAATGACAACTAGTTTTAATCCTTTAATACTTTAAAACATAAAACCTTATATAACTATAAATAAAAATACATGAGCTAAGAATAACACTATCTATACAAAATGTGTGTAAATTATCCATAAATTTTCGCACAATTTTTTTTTTTTCCTCCATTTCTACTATGTTAGAGTACTAATAAGTTTAAAATTTTATTTAAACAGGCTTGAGTGTAATTATGAAAAGTTTAAATTTGCCATCGACTATTTAAAACAACAAACATGCATCACAAAAGTGATTCAAAAGTACAAATATATCATCTAAATGAACAGCCTTTTTCATTAAAGAGAAAAAATGTATAAATGAAAATTTACTTTTAAACATCAATAAAGTTAGTCAATAAGGGTTTGTGGTTAAAATGAACATTCATGCATAAATACATTGTTTCTAGGTTAAATATGCAAAAAAAGTCGCTTTTATAAAAATAAAAAAATAAAACTAAAAATAACTATAAATAAAATAATTGCTAAATTAAGAACTTTACAATAAAAGCTTAAAATCGCAATATTTTCATTTAATTCCTATAAAGCTCTATAATGGGTCAATCGGGATGAAATTCATTCATCATTTCCGTTTTAATACGCAATAATATCTTTCGGAAAAGAATAAAAGTAATATTTCCAATAAAAAGATATAAGAGCAAAGTGAAGTTTGTTAAAAGAAAACCTTCGTTGATATTTCTTAAATAATGGTTAACAATCAAATAACCTTTCATTTTTTTGAGCCTCAGACTTTAAAAACATCCGAGGAGAAACCGAAGAAGAGAACCCCAAATATGTTCATCTTATTCCGTAAAGAAATGATGAGATATAAACCGTACAATATGCAAATGACTAAATACAGCAAGATTGTCTCAGAAAAATGGAAGAAACTTTCAGAAGTTGAAAAAAACGAACTACAAAGGCGATATCAAATAAATAGAGATCAAAAATTACAAAATCCGGTTAATGAATATGGTATCAATGATAATGGTGCAATAAATTATCCTTTACCTTCAGTAAAATGTAGGAATGAAAATGATGCTGCTAAACGGGATCAAAACACGATTAACGCAGAGCAGATAATTAAATGACGGACGCCATCTAAAAAAATTGAACCTTATAAATTGATCACTCTTATAACTTTACCTGAATATTTGAAACAATCGAAAATCTTTCTAGCACTCGAAAAATGATTAAAGAAAATTTAAAGAACAATTGACAATCACCTTTATTTACCCAAAGATAAACTCGAAATTAATTTTTATATTCCAACAAATATCATTAATTCCCAGTCGAAACTTTTCGAATCTTTTCGTTTCTTCCATAATCTTTTACCCGAAAAAGTTTTTACTCGACAATCTTTTTTTAGTATTTTCAGTTCAAAATTCTTTTCATAGTAATTTTGATACTTGGGTAACTTTGTAAAACATTTCATTACATCGCTGAATTGGCTGTCAGTATAAACCAAATTAACAATAAAAAGCACATTGTTTATCAATAAATTTATATTATGATAATGGCAAGTGACCCACATGACCTCAAATGACCTGGTCATTTGACATCACTGCTATGATATACGTATGCCAACATGTACTATATACAAATAAATTATCTTCGCAATTACTACACGTTTAGAAAATATTTTTAACTTATTAAATTCTAAATAATAATAAATTCATCGAAGTAAACGGATATGTTAGAATAAACTAATAATTTATTTTAAGCGCCAGAGATAGATAATTTAGTATGGTTTAAGAGTTAGTATTTTTAGGATTTATTTTGGAAAAATTTTTTTTTTTCTTTTTGTTATTACTTTATTAGCTTTAGATTTACAGTGTCAAGTGATTGCTTTTACACGGACTTTCTTCAAGATTTAAATAAAAGAATAATCAAGACAAAAAAACAAAGAGATATTCCTATCTTTTCTTAATTCCTTTATTTATTTATTTATTTTTTTTAAAAAAAAATTTGAAATAAGAAAGTTGAATTAATTATTTGTAGACCGCCATTTTGGAATATAAAATGGTATAGATAGAAATTCCCAAATCAATTTTATTTACTTATTGTAGGTCAAACAACCCGGGTCGACTCGATCGTTTCGGAGCACTAAACCGGTCAGTTAAAATAGGTCGGTCAAACGGTCGGTCTTTAACCATCCCCACTTGTTGGATAATACCAATGAGTTTCTTTATTATCATACTTCCAACTCTCATTTGAAATGTAATCGACGAAAAATCTGAGCTCTTCATTCATTTAATTGAAATTTTTTTTACAACAATGATTTTTCACATTCCATTGTTTCAATCATTAGCCGCATGTGTAGCATGATCGGCATATAATATTTTTTATTATCTACATGCACTTCAATACAATTGTTTAATTACCTTTTTCATCATAGCCTTCACTATACAAATCGAGTAATATAAATTATACTTCAATGATTGATTCAGAAACATGTATCACAATATTCAATGAGATGAATATCGAATTAGCTATACAAAAAGCTGTAATATTCGAATTGATTAGTACTCCTCTCATCAACTTCGCCTAATAAAAGAAAATTACTACCATATGGTGAATATAATGAGAAGATGATTTAGTTGGGAATAAACTCGAATTTTTTCTCGAGTCGGGACTATCATTTTTATGACGAGTCCTAATTCAAAAAAATCCGCCGGGTCAGGGTCACGCTTTTGCTTGACCCGGTGACCCGGATGATCATGCGCGCTAGACTTTTGTTTTACGTTACGCGACTTTAATTTGTAACAAATAAATAATAAGTAAACCTATCGACGTTACAGTACAACTTTTTCTAGAAAACGAAAAGCATTGCGGAATAAACAATTATAGGTAAAAAAAAAAAAGTTATTGTTACATTAACTAATACATTTTTTATAAAGCAACAAGTGTTTCAGTAGAACGAGTGTTTCTGGCGGAACCGATCTGATATCAACCAAATAAGTTCTTGAAATTCTGATGGAAAAGATGTAAAGAAAGGAATTATCACAAAAAAGAAAATAATAAAATAAAATAAACTTTATATGACACATTTTTTATTTTCGCATTAATATTACCCTTGAAAATTCGAGTCGAACAATGATCGGGTCGAGTCGAATTCGGGTTCTGTGAGTTCAAGTTCGAACATGCCTTCAACCCGCCCTTACGGAGCACTAGACCCGTTTTATCGAAGGACATTTTTTGACTTGTTAGAAGAGCTTTACTTTAATTAGTCTAACATGGCACTTTTTAAACTTCTTGTATAAAATTTTCATGACTATTCTGAGAAAATTCATGGGTAAAAAAAAATTGTGCCGACTAATACCTGTAATGGCGCAGCATTATCGCGGAATTTAATTTCTTTTTAAAAATTTTTAATATAAAGTATATGATTAAATAATATTCCCTAGTTAACATTTTTGGTCAACCTGTCGGTTAAAATCGGTTAGAAAGAAACCTTTGACCGACCATTTAGGTTATGACCAAAACCAAACCATTTAAGTCAAAACGCTAACGATATCATAGTTATGGTTTTCCAAGTGATTTTCCAAATAACAAATTGGGTTAACATAAAGAAACTAATCAAGTAAAAACTTGATTCGAATTTTTTATTTTGCGTATAGTTGCTGGGGAAAGTTTATGGCAAAAGTCGAAACTATTATTGGAATTTAATTTTCGACGATTTTTTATTTCGATGATACTTAAAGTTTTTGCCCCGAAACTTTAAAATGTAAAGAATTTAAATACAAATTTACAAAACCAAATGCAACGAGAGAGGTTATAATAAAAAGAGTTATTAAATGAACGGAGCATAAATAAAATTGATATTTTCTACGTTTATAACGAATGTTTAATATAACGAGGTAAATAAATTGCGAACAAAAGTTCACCAAATCTCTTTTTAATTTTATAAAGGACATTAATAATTTTAATATGTATATATAATCTGAAAAAAATTCAAATTTTTGCGTCGCTTTTGTTAAAGTTGAATTCAGATCATCCGAGTGTCTGAATTCCAATTTCAGACAAACATAAAACTATTTTAACCAATCACGATGTGCCAATTTTTTTCGTAAATAAAAACATTTTAAAACTTTATAATTCAGTCTTGGCATACTAATAAAAATTATCTTTTAGCTGAATATGATATTTAAGCAGGAAGATAGCATTTAATTTCGCGGCATTTATTCATTAAATTTATAATAGCATTTAAATTTTCGATATTTTTTTTCGATTCCATTGGATGCAAATAAGTAAATTCTTTTTTAGGATTTTTTTTTTATTTTATATTTTATTTTCATCCAGGTTTTTGATCGAATCGGTGCTGCATCAGTTAAATAATTGAGTTTTTTATTTATTTATTTTTTTATTTTTATTTTATCTTTTTATTGGGTTTTTTAAACTTCAGACCGAAATGATCCAACCTGAAAAAGCAAAAAATAATCAGTTGATTAGAAGATCATATTAAACACATACTGTATATTCAATTTTTCTTCACTAATTCTTTATAAAACAGGAAGGAACTCCTACCTTTACGAGTTATCTATGTAATTATTTGAAGCTGAGAGACGAACTTTAAAATAAAGAAATAAATAAATAAAAATTAGTAATTACTTATAGAAATGTTTAAATTTATTTGGTTGTTTGGTTGGTTTTTGTTAGTTAATTAATTAATCATTCTTTATTTATTTTAAAGAGAAGAAATTGTTAAATTTTTTTTTATAATAATTATGTTTATGTAAATATGTAATGAATCAGATTCTTCAAATATTAATTGACTTGACGAATCATTAATTTTTTTATAAATTATAATTACTAAATAAAATAAACTTTTTATGGTTATCTTTAAGATTTTAGAGAGAGAAAGAATCATTAATTTTTTATTATAATAATTTCATTCAGAGTATTCAATAAAAATTAAATAAAAAAAAAATTAATTAAATTAAATTGCTTATATATGTGAATCAACTGACATGCGTCAGATGACTAATGCTTGCCAACTTTCTTAAGACATTATAAGATCAGCCCAAAATAGGCCCCATAATTTAAGCTAGTCGGCATCTGACGCAAAATTGGTGATTTATTTCAGTTATACAAAAATAGATCTATATGGTTATAACTAAAATTAAATTCAAATAATAAGGGTATAATTCCAATTTCAGTTAACTGATCTTTGAATATCAATTTTAAATACTTGAAGTTCATATGAATTTCAACAGATGAAAATTAATTTAGTCATAATATCATTAAATAATCTAATCTTATAATCTTTAAATCATAAAATAAATATTTTAATATTATTGTAGGCTAATACATTATACATATTTGAAATATCTTAAATACAAATATTTATTCTAAATACGATATATTTGTTTTAATTATTATTTTAAATAGTATTTCATATATATTTTAAATAAATATTTTAATATATACAAATGATCAATTTATATTTAATTAATTTTATGATTAATCTTTATATATATAAAATTATAAAATACATTGATTAATTATATTATTATTAAATAGCTTTAAAATTACAAAAAATATCTTAAGTTAAAATTTCTAATATAAATATAAATGCAAAAATATTTACTATTCAAAATTAGAAAAATCAATATGTAATAAATCAGTCTAAATCAACTCAAAATTAGCATATTATTAAAAATTAGCTAAAATATTACTGATCTAAATCAAAAAAATCTGACATGCGAAAATTAGCCTAAAATTAGCCTAAAATCAACCTAAATTTAGCAAATTATCAAAAATCAGCCTAGTCAATTGGAAAACATCAGAAATCAGCCAAGAATCAGCCAAAATTTGACCCATCTTATTTATAACTGATTGATGTCCGATTGGAATGATTGTATTATTTCTTAGATACAATAAGTATTATCATTTCTTAAGAATAATAATTTTAACGTTCCTAAGATATAATAGTATTATTATACCTAAAGAATGATGGTATTATCATACCTTAGATATAATAATTTTATTATTTCTAAGGAATGATGCATTTTTCATTCCTTAGAAATGATGATTTTATTATTCCTTAGAGACAATTATATTATCATACCTAAAGAATGATGGTTTTATT